GGTGTTGGCTGTGCTGCTGACTGGCCTTCCTGCGCTTCCTCACTTCTTGTCGAGATGACCTTTTCCTGCGACTGCTAGGAAGGAAACACTTGCTTTGAACTGTAGAGCTTTAAAGTGCCTGCAAAAATAACCCCCCAAATAAAAACAAAACAAAACCCACCCAGACTTCCTGCGTGAGAAGGTCATTTTCAGTCCCGAGCTTCAGTAATGTTGTCATGCCTTGGCCTTTTTATCTTCTGAGCTACGGAAAATGTATTTGCATTGTTTTGAGGACTAATCTCTCTCCCTATAAGTACTCTGCACGTTTGGATATGTCTCCCAAGAGATTATGTCTTTAAAACAAAAGGATATGAAAATTAGTATCTACCTTCTTAAGCAACTGAACAAAGCAGGGTGCTTCTAATTGTGGTGTGGACTAAGAGACATTAGTACTTTAGAAAGACCTGTGTTATACTTCACATCCTAATCCTGAGGAAATCTGTTCAAGCATTTTCACCTAAAGCAGCAACTTCTCCGTGACTCGTGGTCTTTGAAGGTGAGACAATTGTTGTTTGATTTATTATCATGTTAGAAACCTATGTTTTCTGGTGGAAAAAGCTGTCTTCTGAAGTCCTTGATGTCTTCAAAGCCATGGGAGCTCTCTCTTGACCACTAGCGTAGGCCTCTTTAGAAACTTAAATCAGGTTTTAAAGTTAAAGGGAGGAAGGGCTTCTCTGACAAGTGCGGATTTTGAAGAAATCTCTTCCATATTGGCACAGTAGGCCAATAGCTCTTGTTTTGGCACTGATATGGAGTTGCAGTGCTCATTCACAGGGTGGGGAAAAAGTGGGAATTTGTGAGTGGAATTACCTTTTGGGGAAGCAGATGTGGTGTTGGCACCAAATGCAGCTTTGCCAGCGCCATGGGCCAGCCCTGCTGGAGGCTCCCGTGGAGGCACTGGAGACCTCGGCCCGGCAGCCGGGCGCCTTCAGGAGGTGCAGGGCTCGGAGGAGCCTGGAGGCCGACAGGAAGCTCCATCCTTGGAAATGAGCATGAAAAGGAGGGGCTTGGAGCGGCCGTTGAGGGGGGGGGGGGCGGGCTCTTGGGGCCCCG